GGGGCTGCGGGCTCTCGGTCCCACGCCATTCCTGCGCCAGGCATGCCTGTCCCCACCTGCCCCTTCCTGGCGCTGCCTCCTCCCTGCCCCATCCTCCTGGCAGAGCACCTGAGGCCCCGGGGGTGCCGTGCTCACTTGGTGCTGCTCCCTGGCCTGGGGCAAGTCCTTGCGCTCAGTGTCCTTGTTAATGAAGTAGGGATAGTCCACGAATGGTGGGGATAGATGATATGGACCTTTAGAATATTCTGTTGGGGGGCGCCTGGGTGGCTCAGTGGGTTAAAGCCTCTGCCTTCAGCTCAGGTCATGATCCCAGGGTCCTGGGATCGAGCCCCGCATCGGGCTCTCTCCTCAGCAGGGAGCATGCTTTCCCCTCTCTCTCTGCCTGCCTCTCTGCCTACTTGTGGTCTCTGTCTTTCAAATAAATAAAGTCTTTAAAAAAAAAAAAAGAATATTCTGTTGGTTTTCTTTTTCTTTTTTCTTTTTTCTTTTTTCTTTTTTCTTTTTTTTTAAAGATTTTATTTATTTATTTATTTATTTGAGAGAGAGTATGAGCAGGTGCGGTGAGGGTTGGGGAGCAGAGGGAGAAGTGATTCCCCGCTGAGCCCAGGGTACACGGGGCTCCGTCCTAGGACCCTGAGATTAGGACCTGAGCCCGAGGCAGACACTTCACCTCCTGAGCCCCCCAGGTTCCCCTCTGGTGGTTCTGCCTTTCAGAGCATGTAAATCTAGAAGCTTTTTCTCTCGTGCCCTGGGACAGCAGCCCAGTCTCTGCTCTGGACTAGGTGCTGCCACTCTAGGTAGTCCCATGTGGGGCCCTCTGCGCTCTGATCCCGGCACAGGAGTCCCCAGACCCCACCCCTCCCAGCACCCCCAAGCCCTCTGGCATCCTAGGCTGTCACTCGGGGTCACTGGGCGTCCGGGCACGGCCGCCGACAGGGTCTCGGCTGGGGTCTGCACGTCAGCTGTCACCTTGTGTGGGACGTGGCCGCGGGCCTGCTGGGACAGGCCCCCGCGGACCTCGGAGGTCACAGCAGCCCTTGTGTTAGCTCCCCCTCCCCCAGTGTTGACTCAGCCTGAGGTGGACGGTTTCTTGTCTCCCACGCAGACTGTTCCAGAACCAGATCCAGGATTTCCTAAACCCGTCTCCGAGCGTGCTGTTTTTCTGGACCTGCCCTGGCCTTTCTTCTGCTTTAGTTCCCGTCCACCTTCCAGTCCATTTTCTGGCCCAGTGGTTACCATCATCAGTTCATCGTTCCCAGGTCTGAAAGAGACTGTGTGTGCGGCCTCCAGACTTGGCGCGAGGGGTCGCTGAGACTCTGCCTGTGCCGTCTGGAGCCTCTGTTTACCCCCAGAGAAAGGAAGTCCGTCTCCAGGAGATTTATTCTCAGTGGGTCTGTGGCCACGACCCACGGGCCACAGTCCTGCAAGGATTACAGGTCACCGTCTCTTTACTCCCATTCTAGAATTCTAGGGTTTTGGTGACACTGGTCCCTTCTCTAGCTTCTTGTAGCCAGATTAGAAGTCAACTTTTCTGTAACTGCCGTTCAAGGTGACCTGCCCGTCTTCAGACTCGTGGCGCAGCTCCCACTTTCCCCTGTTACTCAGTTTGCCCACAGTAGTTCTGGAATCACACTCCAAAGTAGTTGGTATTTTTGGAATGTGACTTGCCTGGGCTGGAGACGTGAGTAATTGAAATGGCTCCTGGTCTCGCTGTCTGGGCCGCATGTTCTTTGGTGCTTGTCCCTCCCCTCCCGGCCTGAGGGTGTTCTTGGAGGGCGCACGGGAGCAGTTTGGTTTCCTCCTCTGTCCTCTGTTACGGTCCCACCGTCTTCTTGAAGTGATAGAGAGACTTTGACGTTCCTTTCTTGCTCCAAAGATAGCTTTGAAACCCTTTTCTGTTTCTGGGGGTGGGAGACATCAGAGGCTCTGCCACCTCCCGTCAGTGTCCTCGGCGCTCCTCCTGGCAGTTCTCAGGTTCAAGTGTACTTGTCCTGATTACATTTCTCCTGTCCCCTCCACACCTGTTTGGGAGGATGGGGTAGGTTTTTGCTTTGTTAAGAAGCTGAGGGGCGCCTGGGGGCTCAGTCGGTTGAGCGTCTGCCTTCCGCTCAGGTCATGATCCCAGGGTCCCAGGATCGGGTCCCGCATCAGCTTCTTGCTCCACGGGGCAGCTGTTTCTCCCTCTGCCCCTCTCCCTGCTCATGCTCTCTCACTTTCACGGCCCCTCTAATAAGTAAATAAGCCTTTAAAAAATAGAGAATCTGAGTTCATTTATTGGATGGCTCCCTGGGTAGCCACACGGAATTCTGTTTCTTTCTTCAGAAACGGGTTCATTCTTACTCTGAGTGCACATCCCGTTGGGCTCACACCTTTCTGTCCAGGCGCACTGGACTGTCTGAGGTTCCGTGCTGCCCGAGAAGCAGCGAGCATGCTTCTGGGCTGGCTCCCTGGGACCTGCCCGTGAGCTCGGGTGCGCAGGGGAAGGGGCTCGGCTGTGTGCTGGTTTATGAGTGAACTGTCCTCGGTGCCGTGCGCGGTGCACCCCCCCCCCCACTTTGTTATGGGGCGGCGGGGGGGCTACTCTGCTGCCAGCCTCGCCTTCCAGGGACCAGGAGGTGTGATGACTTGGGAGCGGTGCTGCGGGGCCAGGCGGGAGGTCCTGCCTCCGTGTTCCAGACAGAAACGACTTCCTCCTTGATGGCTGCGTCCCTCTCCCGCTTACAAACCGGAGCGCCTGTGAACGGCAGCGCGTTTCGGACGTTGTCCCGCTCATATGGCGCCAACTAACTCATCTTCACTGTCCTTCCCAGCGCCGCTCGCCTCCCCTGCCTTCTCTGGCGGTGCTCCGAAGCTGAATCCTGCCTTGCTGCAGCCTTCCTTGGGGTCTTTGGGTGAAGTTGGCTGCGTGTGGCCCCAAGTCCTCTTCCTCCTCATTCGTGGTTCTTTGACCTCAACCCTCGTCTAAATTGTAGGCATAATTAGGACTCGAGGTGCAGGGGGCCACCCCGGTGTAGACCAGACACACGGGGTGCCCGTGTGTGCTGATAGTGTGTGCTGGTCCTTGGCCTCGGTTCCCTTTTTTAATCTGCTAGATGATCATTGTTCTGGGTTTTGTATACGACTCATTTGTGCTGAGATCCACCATAAGATGATTTCCCGCCGTCCCTGTGGCGTGTCCGTGCTGTCCCCGCTAGAGAGGCCCCATGACTCTCTGGTCTTGATGCAGGGATTCAGGAGATCGTGCCCCTTCCAGGTCCGACTTTGATTTTCCACCCCATGTCTCCGGCCACGTCAGATCTGACTTGCGTGGTGTTTGGTCTCCAGGACAGATGAGGTACTCGGTCTGTGTCCGTTATCTTCCCTGAAAACGTCCGAGTCCTGTTGGATCTGATGCCGTGTGTCCTTCTGTTCTTGCAGGACTGTGAGGGTGAGACCCCCATTCACAAGGCGGCCCGCTCCGGGAGCCTGGACTGCATCAGTGCCCTGGTGGCCAATGGGGCCCACATCGAGTAAGTGCCTTCGTGTATCCGTCCCGCAGAGACGCGGTCGGGGCGCTGCGCTCATAGGCGGCTCGTCCTGAGCAAGCGGCGGCCCTCCCGGTGTCTCCGTTAGCGGGACAGCCCCGCATGGTGGGTCCGCTGGCGCGGGTGCAGGCTCTGGTGCGGGCTGACGGCTGGCGTGGGGAGCTGCTTCTCAGCACCCCAGGCTTGTTGCCGCGACAGCGTGCGACGAGGGAGAGAGCAGGGAGCTAAGTACGTCGGAACCTGGCATTGTGGACTCGGCAGCTAACTCGTTGTGTCACCACGGGCAAGTCGTCAGACTTACTCTTGCCAGCGTTCGTTTCGCAGTGAGGCCCTTGCATTGGATTAGAACATCTTGCCGGGCCTCTCTGGCCCAGCCCTGGCAGACGGCTCTGCTAAGTTGCGATTTTCTCATCTCTTAGCAGATGTGAGAACCTTATGGTTTAGAGCCTATTAGCCTCTAAATGATTTATCACTGCTTGTAAAACAGATAAAACAGAGCCGTATACGTTAGAGTCTTCAGACTCCCTCTGAGCCCTTGAGGCCGGGGACATTACTATAGTCTTGTTTTATCCAGTTTACGTGAGCTAGTTCTGCGTGGCTTGATGGAAAGTGTTAATGTTTCAGTGCATGAGTTTAAAGATGTGGGCTTACGTGCAGAAGTCGTTAGCCAGCCATGGCATTAAACGTTTATTTTAGGTATTAAATTCATTTGTATTAACTTGATCTGAAAGATTGATATTGTAAACATTTTTCTCCCGCAGTTCACGGCATTAACACAATGGATGCGGTTTTTACCCATAAATGTTGATGTAAGCTCTAGAGCTGTGATAACCTGAGTAACTATGATGTCAGCTTTTCTGTTTTGAGTGTCTTGAATATTTCTTAAAGATTAATTACAGACCCCACGCTATTCTAATTGGAAATGTGAAAATCTAGACTTTGGGAGAAGTAAACCCCCAGAACTAACCTAGTTTAACCCTTTGGTTTCCACTTCATTGTTTTGACTCTGTGTTAGAACAGATTCGTTGAAAACGGATCCTGGGTAGCAAACCATGTAGCTTAACTAATGCCACGTTTAATGCCGGGGGCTGTCTTCGGCTCCTAGGATCTTAGCTTCTGTTTCATTTAAGTATTGTATTGTTCAGTCATTAGTTTGGGCTTGGATCTTTTATTTCCGTAGAAATCTGGTCCTGTAAGTACGCCCTGTGCTAACTGTTACATTGCAGGGCACCTCGTGATTTCGTATAGCTCTGACTTCAGGTAATGTAAGAACGCTGGATAATACGAATATGTATTATGCAATTTGAGACGATTCTCAATGGATTGCTTCAAAGTGAAGTTATATGTGCATTTTCTTTAGCTGCGTTTAAATCAAAAACTCAGAGCTTTAATTTTAATAACAAGCTTTGATTATGAAATACAGAGTCATATAAAATCAATAATTAGCTTGTCATTTGTTGAAATAATAATTAGAAATTGACCTTTTTAATAACTTATTTTTCTAAACAATAGTCTAATTGATCCTGAACATTTTACTACTACATAGTAGCTCTCTTCATTTCAATGACTAGCTTAATGCTTTGAGCCAATAAATATTTATCTCTATATCCTTTTTTTAATAGGTGTCTTTCTAAAATAAGAACCTTTTATTTACAGTTCTGTCCTTGGTTACAGGACCCTCGAGTGTCTCTTTCCCACCAAGTGTGACTGAGCCTGGCCTCGAGTGCTGGGCTGGTTTTCCTTCTCACTATGAGAGCCACTCCCTCGAGACCCTGCACTGTGGTGATCTCCCTTGCCTGAACTTCAGATGTTTTTTAGAAGAAATATTTAGCCTGAGCCACCTAGCCAAAAGCGATTCTTTAAATTCTCAGTCTTTGGCCTGGAGACAGAGCACAAAGAATCAATTGTATATGTGCTTACTTAGTGGTTACTTAGTTTTAACATCTGCAGAAATCGCCAGTTTTGCTGGGAAGCTAATTTGTAAATTGCTTTTTGATGTCTGTTCTGTACATTTCTGTAGTTTAACACTTTTAGCCTGCCTACAGGTGATAGTGTGAGTCCCTCAATTATGGTACTTCGATCTGTCCTGCTTGTACTGCTCACACGGTACAGAATAGTCCTAGCAGATACAATGCCGTTTTGTTTTGTTCTGTTTTGTGTCTTAAGAGGATCGAGGGGCACAGTGTTGATTTACTTACCTAAAGTGATTTATGTTTTTTCCAGTTCACAATGGGCCAGATTATTAATTCTTCATATTACATGCTATAATGTGAACCTTTCCTTTTCCTGTGAAGAAATCGAAAGCTGTCTCCTATCAGTATTTTGTCACACTTGGTGGTGATTATTAATTTTGTTATTAATTCCTACTTTTTTTTTTTTTTTTTTTAATGTATCAGCTTCATAAAGTGGCCAAAATCTTAAGTTGCTGCTTTTTTGGTCACTGGGTAGATAATGATGAGGGCAAGCGTGCCCCGCGTCTGTGGCTAGAGTGGTTTGTTGTGTGACTCACTTGTCGATAGAGGCCGCATCTGTACGGTGAGGCATGTCAGCCGCTGGCCACCGTGTGTAACATTTTCTAGCACCACACGTGAGTATGTTGATGGAGTTTTTTTTTTTCCTTCTCTTATTTTACATCTCGAGTTTTGGTGCCAAGTTTTCTTTTTCTCGTGAGGTTTTGTTTCTGGCTTCTACGATGGTCATTGTCGTTGGCCATTGTTGACATCCCACAGCAAAGCTCCATAGGATGGAGTGGTACTTCTGTGACCGGGTTCAGTGTTTGCATACTTTAAACTTCCGGAACCTCTGCAGACTCTTGTCATTCTCGTGCTTCTCAAGCACGGCCGGCACCTTTCGAGTTCTTGAAAGTGAGGTGGTCCCCGTCCTACATTTGGCTCGTGTGACAGTTCCGTTTGTCCCTCAGCCACTGCCGAGTGCTGTCCCCTCTCGGGTTTGCATCAGAGGAGAGGCACGGGCTAACCTGTGAACCACCATTGCCTCTTCTTTCTTTTTGATGATTAAATGAGTAGCAGTGTAAGAGTCTGCCTGTATGATTTTGGAGAAAGCAGGAAGACTTGCTGTTTGTCTGCTGATAATTAAGACCGTCCAAGTACTGACATGGTAAACTGTAGATTCCAAGCCTCAGATTGTCTTTATTCTCAGTATCTGGGCATCAGTTAATTTCGGTTACTCTGTTTTCTTGATGGTAAAGTGAATGTTTCCGTATCAACCAGGTATTGAAACTGCCTTTTTTATGCCTCTGAGTAGAAATACAGGGACCAGTGGGATTTAGAGTGAAATCACCTTGGGCTGGGGTTTCGGACGGATTTGCTGGCCTGTTTCGTGCCCCGCCACACGGGTGCTGCTGTTGAATGGGGTCGTGGCAGAGTCTCGGAGCAGCCAATAGGAGAGCGTTTCCGCGGAAGCCACCGGTTCCATGGCGACCGGCTCTTCAGACGGGCGGCTACTGCATTCCAGCTGAACTGGTCTGACCCCGCGGACAGCTCCACCGGTCATCAGATAATGGAGAAGCATCGGTAGCCTGACGTAAGCCAGTTCAGTGACTCGCTCTGGAAGCATCCTTCTTGCCCAATTTAGAAAACAGGCACAGTTGGCTGGAGTCACAAACGTCTAAAATGTGATTTTAATGGATTTTGTTTTAATGTCAGAAAAACATCTACACTACCGAACTTTGAGCCATTCTCAATGGAAATTGAATAGGTTTAAATCGGTTTATCGTTGGTGGTCACGTTTACGATCCAGCCCGTGCGCTTACCCAGAGAGCCCTCTGGAGGCAGAACTGCCTTTAGGGCACTGGCTGCCTCGAGCACGTGTCCTGTCCCCTGAGCAGTTTGTTCGTAGCTCCTGCCAGAGGCCAGATGTAGCGCACGCTCCCTGTGGTAGCCGTTTCTTCTCTCGTGTTTGGAATTTGTGGTTTCTTTTCATTGGTTCCCGTATTTGCCCCTAAGAATAATAGCCTGTGGGTTTTATTGGAACTGTAACTCTGAACTCGTTTCTGACTTTGGGGCTCTGCATTCGCACCCTCCTCCCCCAGTCTTGCCTCCCTTACCTCGGTGTCACTCCGGCAGACGTGTCCCGTCTTGCTGGTGCCTGCCTCTTCCCCTTGTGCCGGAGAAGCTGCTGGCCTGGGGCAGGAGGGGCTTCCCCAGACAGCTCTGCAGCACTTTCCGCCCACCCGGCGCCCCTGGAGCTGTTGATGTGTGTGGAGTTTTGATTCATTTCATAACAACTTGAGTAACATGGACTCGGATAATTGTTTAATTGCTGCTTTTCTAAACAGTGCTTTCAAGTAGCCAGTGATTTCCAAATCTCTTTTTCCTCCGCTAAATTATCGTGGGAGCACGTGAAGCCTTTTATCAGCCCCCCCTGAAATGACACTCTTCTTCTGTTTAACGTATGCAAACATGATTGGGGTTCACTTGCAGAGTAAAACTGCCCTCAGCGATGTTGACCTTGAAATGAAAACTTGGCACCAAATGTATTCAGGTAAATACTTTTAAAAATAGTTTCTTTCTCTCGTTATCTGAAGACTGTACTTAAAGTCTTCGTAATTTAAGAGTTTGGATACCAAAGGGTTAAAAATACATGTTTTTCTTTTACTGAAGAAATTTTAGATGTTTGCTAATGTTGTCTGTACAAATGGACATTTAGTGATTTTTTTTATCTTTTTTTTTTTTTTTTTTTTTTTTAACGATTCCATGTATTTGCTTATTTCCATCTAGGAATAGTTACTAATGTATTTGAGATTCAGCATACCAAATTTTAAAGTACCCAGAATCGTGAGTGAATGGTTTTTAGTCCATACTGTGAAACTTGTGTTGAAATATTGACATATTTAAATGGGCTTCCTGCTGGAAGTGGCTGCAGGTGGAAAGGCAGCGGCGCGGAGCCACGGCGGCCCCGCGCACCGACCGCGCCTCTGCACCCGTGTGTGTCTGTGTACTTTTAATCCAAATGTTGCCTGCGAATATGTGATCCCTTATTATTTCAGTGTCCTGTGTCATGAACCACTGCCCGTTTTAAATCACAGAGAAGATTCTGAATCTGTAAAACCTACACGTGTCAATGTCTTACAGCTGCGTAATTCGAATTGACTTGATTTTTTTCAAGTAACCCTAGAAAGGGGGAGCACTCCATATAGAAACCGCTGAGAACTGCCACAGGCGCTTCTCCGAAAACCTTACGGTTGTGGCATTGAGTGCTCAGTATGGCTTCCTCTCTCCACACGGTTGAGGTATTTGTTGCGGTGATTGGTTTTAATGCTAATCTAGGAATTCAGATATAGAGTCTAGATTTGCATGCTTTGCTTACCCTAATTTATGATACCTATCTTTTATTTGTAACTAACAATAGTTAAGTTGAGATCAGAATTTTAACAGAAATACCATTTATAGAAAAATTGTGGCTATCTTTTCATTGTCCCATGGCATTAACAAAAAGAAAGCATCCTGAAGGAGATGTGACGGCTCAGATGCTAAACGTGATGTTTCGCTGATTGCCTGATCCGTGGTTTCTCAAATTAAAGAAAAAAGTGTTCCTACTGGAACGGCTTCTCGTCTCTTCCAGGGGCGTGACACTGTAAGTGGAGAATGAAGGACTAGCTGGCCACCGGGGGACGTTTGTCTCCAGGTGCTCTAGGGAGGGCCCCTCAGTACAAGACACTTGAATTGTCTCTTCAGAACGTCACTGCAGAAAGCACAGTATCTCAGCATTTGCGCATTAGTCAGTAAAGCTTAAAAAAGTAACAGTTTCTTTGCCAGTTACGCAGCAGAAGACGGAAGATTGAACTCACAGTGACGATTTTTCCGTGTCTTCTGTGTTTCCACACTGCACTTCGGGGACAATGCTAGGCTCCCCAGGAGGACATGGGTGGCTTGCTCTGAGATCACTTTCATAGTCTCTGTGAGTGTCCCAGGAGCTTCAACCCACAGGTGCCGGCGCTGCGGCAGAGTGACCCCACCCCCAACCCCCCAAAAATTTTGATCCTGTCAACTCTTTTTTTTTTTCTTTAAGACCGTTGACTTTGGAAATTCAACACACTAGACCCACTTTGAACATCAAGGTGATCGATGTCTAATTTTTAAAATCTCTGCCCAGTTTCAAAGATTTTTCATCTGGATATCAGAGCGGGTGAATGGAGAGCTTTTAGAAACGACCTCACGGCGCGTCCACGGGGTCCTCGTCTTCCAAAATGGACAGAGGTGAATTTCGGATCACACGTAGTCTGCGTTCACCCAGGTGCATCACACCGAAGATGCGAAATTCAAAACCATATGCTTTTTTAAAAGATTTGGCTAAAAACAATGTGTATGCTGCCATTACTATCCCGGTTTCCATGTAAAGTATAGGTTTTGAGAGTATTTCTGAATAATTTCTAACAGGTACTTTAGAATGTTCCCTTTGGACTAGCGTGTGTAGACTAGTTGAGACTGACCCCAGCCCCACACCTGGCCTTGAGAGGAGCGCTCAGCCGCGAGTGCGGCGCAGCCGTGCCCCACGGGCCCGTGCACATCGCAGGGTGAAAAGTGCTGTGTGGGGTAGCACGGTCGGGTGAGCGGCCAGGCTCTTGGTTTCAGCTCAGGTTGTGAGATGGAACCCTGAGCCCCACACAGGCTCCTCACTCAGCCAGCGGTGGGCGGGGGGTCTGCTTGGGATTCTCTCTCTCTCCTGTCCCTCCCCTGCGTCTGCACACTCTGTCTTCCTCTCTCTAAAATGAATGAAGTCAAAAGTGCTGTTCCAGACCTAGCGCGGCATGGGGATGGGGAGCCGTCCTGTCCGCTTCTAGGTTGCAGTCACGGCCTCTGACTGTCAGGAGATAAGGGAGGGAGCTGAGTTTTAATTTCTGTTTCAGCTTGGAACACCAAAGTTTGGTTTGATAAATTGATGGTACGTTGTCACCAGGGTCACTGTTTCAGCTCTTACAACAACAAAATTGAAACACTCTGGAACGAGGTGGAAAAGCATATGTGGAAAACAGATTGAAAGAGCTGAGCCTCTCTTGTTAAAAAGTCCAGGTTTTGAGAACGATTCCATTTAATGATTCCTTGTTCTAGTCCTTAATGTGGAAACCCACGTGATTTTCAGACTCTGAGGCATGTTTGAAAGTCCCCTCTGCTTATTGAGCTGTGAAAAGGTAGCTTGAGGGAGTCCGGCTGGTGAAGGCCATTTACGTCTCATCGTAAGCACGTGGCCTGATTGTAAGACACCAGAACTTTTTTTTTTTTTTTTTTTTTTTTTTTTTTTATTTATTTGACAGAGCGAGATCACAAGTAGGCAGAGAGGCAGGCAGGGGGAGGGGGGAAGCAAGCTCCCCGCTGAGCAGAGAGCCCGATGCAGGGCTTGATCCCAGGACCCTGAGATCATGACCTGAGCCCAAGGCAGAGACTTTAACCCACTGAGGCACCCACGTGCCCCGACACCAGAACTTTGAACAGAAAACACACAAGTGGAATAGGGACGACTGTCCTGCTGCTTTCGTGTGCTCTCGGTGGCTTGTACTTTCCCTCTGGACATTTTTCTTGGTACTTAGCATTCTGTGATTTAACCGATTCGGCAGCTTTTAAAAGTTGTTTGTCTGAATTGCGTAGTACAGAAGATTTCTAGAAAGAGAGCTTTGAGGAGCCTGTGGACAGCTATGTTTCATAGAAAGAGAGGACCGGTTAGCAGGACCATCTTCTGGTCACGTGTTACTCAGCGGATCCCGTCTGCTGATGGTTTGTGTGTGGCCCGTAAACTAAGAATGATCTGTACCTTTCAGTGGTTGAACAAAAATCAAAAGAATAATTATTTTCTGACAAGTTAAAATTACGTGAAATTCTTGTGTTAATGTCCATGAATGAAATTTCAGTAGAACCTAGACTTGCTCTATTGCTCCGTATCGTCCATGGCCGCCTTGAGGCCGAGAGGACAGACCTGAGTGGCTGTGAGCAGGTGTGTCCCGGAGAGCCAGCGGTCGGTAGGTAGCATGTAGCCCTCTGAAGGGGAAGCTCCCGCCTTGGGATCAGCGTGCCCCAGCGCTCCTGTCCAGGCAGTGTCTTAGCATGCACTCTACAGTGTAAGCAGAACAGAATTCGGGGCTCGGACGTTTGGCCGGGTAGACGATGGGAAGGTGACAGTACGTAAGTGGGGAGGCATGTTGGTATGTGACCGAATCAGGTGTTCAGAGAGCCTTTGGCTGGAGAAGAGCGTGAACCCTATGTAGTGTACATTCAGTGCTCAGTGATAAGGGAAGGAATATACGGTTGACCCTTGAACAACGGGGGCCTGAACTGTGCACGTCCTTTCATGTGTGGATTTTTTTTTTTTTATAAATGCGGTACATACTGTAAATATATTTTCCTTGTAATTTCCTTAACAACAATTTCTTTTCTCTGGCTTACTTTATTGTAAGTATATAGTATATAATACATATAACGTATAAAATATGTATTCATCAACACTATCCTATCAGTACATGTTCTGGATGACAGTAGGCTCTCAGTGGTTAAGTTTTGGGGAGTCAGAAGCTACAGGTGGATTTGCGGCTGCACAGGGGTTGGTACCCCCCAGCCCCTCCTTGTTCAAGGGTCTGCTCATGTAGCTGGAAGTCTGTAGCTTACTGGGAACAGAGAGAAGATAGCATGCGTCCCTGTTTCTGATAATCCTGTAGGGGCAGTGCCAAAATTATTAGCTCCTAATTAATTGTTCCACAGTCATCTTATGTCCCAGATTCTGCTCCTTTGTCTTCTAGAATGTCTTGATCTCCCTTTTGGATCGCTCCTGACTTCTCGTCCCACCAAGGTGTGTGCGGACCAGCGTCTGTCCGGTCTGAGCCGTGACTGTTCCTTCTTGCCTGCTCGGTCCTCACGCGGGGCGCACATGGTGTGGGTTGGCCCCAGTCCTTCTATTGAGTTTTGAAGTCTGTAACTCACGTGTGCGAGTGTTCAGCGGTCGGGGGGAACCTTGCCTTCCTGTCCCAGGTCCCAGCACACACCCCCACCCAAATGCGGGCCGTCCCCAGAGTCCCTGGAGGTCAGCGCCGGTCGGTGCTTGTTTTTCTCTGAGGCTGTATTTCCTTGGGAAAACAGTCAGTTGCTGTTCTGACCTAAGTCCGGTCTGGTGTTCTGTTTCTGAATGGAAATTGAAGGCTTTGAGTGTGTTTTGGAAATTCTTCTCCACAGCTTGAGCCTTTCAGCTGCTCTGTCAACGGCTCTGTTTTCCTCCGTGAGGTCGTGGCGGTGGATGCCATTTCAGACCGTGTGGCTGCTCTCCGTCATCCTCTGGGCTGCCCGAGAGTCCTCCCTCCTGTCAGCCTGGCTCCGTGTTCTCGGATGCTGAATAGGGAGAGCAAGTCCCTATTTCTGGGTAGAAGTGATTATTTTATAAACTTGGCGTATGTTCCAGGTCTTCATTTTTCCAAATTTCGAAGAATTGGACTTTTTTTTAATGTGGCTACCTGTTACCCTGTTCACATTCTTTTTTTTTTTTTTTTAAGACTTTATTTATTTATTTGACAGAGATCACAAGTAGGCAGAGAGGCAGGCAGAGAGAGAGGAGGGAGCAGGCTCCCCACTGAGCAGAGAGCCCGATGCGGGGCTCGATCCCAGGACCCTGAGACCATGACCTGAGCCGAAGGCAGCGGCTTAACCCACTGAGCCACCCAGGCGCCCCCACATTCTTGACAGAGTAGACCTTTCTGGACGATGGCACTGGGGGTGGTCCCTGAAAATTAAAAAACTCCCTCCGCTGAACACCCAGCTTACTGTTGTCATATCAGGAGCATGACAGCTTCGGAAACTGTGTGGTCACTTTACGTACAAGGAAGTGACGTAGTTCACGCTGTCCTAATGTCGGCGTTGGCTTTCCATTTAGCTCCTCCATCACCATCAAAATAATACCTCGCTGTAGAATACTCGTTAGGGTTCCTAGACCCGAAATCAGAGTGGCAGGTCTGGGCCCCAGTGGTTCTGCACTCAAGTAGGGAACTTGCTGGGTTTCTGCGATTCTCAGGTCTTGTCTTTTTTGTATCTGATCAAACCGAGTTTGGGCTTTGGCCTGTCTCCGACACGTAGGATACATTTCTTTATCTTGGGCTTTAAAGAGCAGAGACATGTTAGCGATTATCTAAAACTGTACAAGTTTTTCATTTCTCATTGGAGCATTAGGCGCATGAGGGCTGGAAAGGCTCGTTGTTCTCTTCACGGTGAGAACTCCCGTCTGTCCCTGCCGGACGGTCGTTACTCCACGTTCACGTCCTTGCCGGGAGCAGGCCTCGCCGTGCTTCGTCGATCACTTGGTGAGGCCACAGGCCGGTGGCCTCGCTTAGCCGCGCGGAGGCGGAGCCGGCCCCCGTCTGGTGCTCACACCCGCACTCCATTGGCCTGTCTCCCTGGCTCGCACTTGACCTCACGGGGCAGGGTGTTCTTCTTGTCTTGCCGTTAGCATTTAGTATTTCCTAGTGGAGGTTTCCAGGTGGCTCTTTCGTATTGGTGGGATTGAGGTGGTTCCCTTCGCCTTCTGCCGGCGCCTCCTACTTCAGTTTGGGTCTTGGCTGCTGTAGGGGACCCCAGCCTTCATCTGCGGGCGTGGCCGGCCATGCGAGCTGCCGCACTGCACACTCTGAACGGTGATAGGACTTCCCCCGCCCCGGGACGGGACCCCAGGAGTCCCCTGCTCAAATGCTCCCGATGCCAGCGTCCCCCCATCGCAGGCTTTCCGGAGCAGGCCAGAGAGCCGCATCAGACCCACAAACTTGGCTTCTCACATCTCCCCCAGTGGTAAGTTCTCTGTCGTCAGGACCTCCTTCTAGACCTCCACTTACAGTGTCACGGGCTAGCGTCAAATCCGGCTTGTCAGTGCGCTGTTTTGAGGAAGCCGATTGTTACGAATGCCATGGACAATTCCAGTACATGTTTGTTTGTTATGATTTTACTCAAGCTAAAGGAATGGATTATTCCAGTTATGCAGATAACGTAGAATTCAGTTCCAGGTTAAGTCTGAAGTCAGCATAAATTTAGGTTCTTCAGACTGACCAAAGAAATGATTTTGAGAAGTAAAATAGGAAGATGCCTTTTTTAAAGTTGAGCGTGTTGATTTTTAGATGCCTCTCTCCCGACCTCGCTTAGCGATCACATGTGCGCAAGAGCCCAGTTAGCACGGCAGCAGGACCAGAGCTCCCCCGTAAGGGAGGCTCGCGGTACCTCCATGTCCTCTTGCCGCCCCTTGAGCTAGTCAGTCAGGTCAGCAGGAGCAGAGACAGGTGAGCGCTCGGCGGGGTGTAATTCGGTGTTTTTGTGTCACGCAGCCTGAGGAACGCCAGTGGCCTGACAGCAGCAGACATTGCTCAAACCCAGGGTTTCCAAGAGTGCACCCAGTTTCTCTTGAACCTGCAGAACTGTCACCTGAGCCGTTTCTATGATAACGGCCCCATAAACGGGGGCCATCAGAGCCGATTCCCTAATCATGCTAGTGCGGGAGCCAATCGCAAGAGATGCTTGGAAGATCCGGAGCCCTTTGGAGTGAAGAAGGCTCGAACCGAAGGTGAGACCCCTTGGTGGACGGGAGGGGGGCACTCTCCTCTTTCCTGTAACGTGTGCTCTTTTTTACGGCTGGAAGCACCTTCGAGAGGAGACCTTCGCTTGAGGGTCCTGTGCCTGGAGGAGCCTGGTGCAGTGGTGGCGTTTTCCCCCTGTGGCCCCTGGAAGATTGGCCCTTTAACCAAAGGGGAGCGGTGAGAGGGCAGTGCTGACAGCTCAGATGGAAGTGTGCGTGTGTGTACCTTTGTGCACACCAGGGTTTTCTGCCACGAATTAGAAAGATTTTTCTTTCCTGTACCTGTTTGAAATATAACTATTAAAAAAATCCGCCACCGTGCCTGATTTTTTTTGTTTCCTCTGAATGTCCCTGAGCTTATGAATAACATTGCTGGTCTGGTAGCAAAACACGGTTTCACATCTGGGCAGGGAGAGGTTTGCCTCAGCTGGTCTCCGCACCCGCAGTGCGGTGTGTGTGTCGTGGTGAGACCCGAGGATACGCCTGGAAGGTAAGTGAATTATAAGGGTTCTCCCACCTTTTTATCTTCAGATGATTTTGGAGTTCATGGTGCAGCAGAGTCACTGGTCAGTCTCAGATGAGAACAGCTCCCCTTCACCTAGAGAAACACGTTTGTGTGCACCTGTCTGTAAGAGATCTTACAAGACAGACCAGTGGCCGGGCAAGAGTACTTAACAAAGCGACACAGAGAGGGACACGTAGAGTTGGCAGTGAAAAGTAATCACATTGGAATTGGGAGCTCGGGTAAGAGAGCTGAGCATAAGGACAAAGTTGTGCCCTTTGATTAAAAAAATAAAAAGCTATGCAAGAAAAGGAGGAGGAAAACCTGGGCGGCTGAAGGCCTCCGTTGCCCACACCCCACGGGGGTCAACGTGATCCTCTTTCCAACGCTGCACATTTTCAGTCTGGACAGTGTTTGGATGAAAACGGGCTTCTTTTACTATAAAGTTGATAAAATTGTATTACCTGCTTTTAAATACTTAGTGACTATGGAAACCGGACTTTTTTTTTTGTGGAAATGAATGTATGAACTTGAGGTGGTGGTTTACGAAACTCCTGGCTTCTGTGATTCACAGAACTCTCTAAGAGTGCCAGAAGGGAGTAAGCACGAACGACACGAGCAGGTGTCTGCCCTCGCAGGGGCCCAAACAGTGAGCTGTCGTACAGCACGGTCACTGATGTGTATGTGTTCCGGCCGAGTCTTCCCTAACGTAGTCTAAAAGCCCTTTAAGAGCATCCACTTTTTTAAAACAGTCTTTTCTTGTCCGCTTCATGCCTGGTTTTGTATTTTGGAATGACGTGAAGTGTCGGCCTCGTGGTCCCTCGGGCAGCAGACCGGTATGTGTCCACGTGCACGGGTGCTGGTTCACAGCAGAAATCTTGGATTCTGCTAGTAGGCTAAGACGGATGTCCCCGGACGTTCTAACAAGACACACATGGGCCAAAGAGTTTTTCCAGCCAGGCTCTGCAGCGTTCAGGTCCGTCGGATCTGCCAGCGTCTCCTTATTGACACCCCTGAAGAGACCTGAATGTACGTTTCCTAGACCTTGTCACTACACAGACGGATCCAAAGAATCGGGTGGGTGGATAGATGTGGACGGGGGTTATTTCCCTCCTCCAGGCAGGTTTGTTTTGGCTCACAGGGTGAGAGATGCACGTTTTGCCCCTGAGACCCCGGGCAGCCCGTTCCCGCTGCTCGGCCAGGGCACCAGCTGGGAAGAAGATGTGGCTGGAGCCTGGGCTTTGAGGCACGTGGCCCCGAGGCTGGGCTATGCTGCCCGTCCCAGTGGCGGTCCCGTCTGTCAACCAGTGTGGGAGACATCTGAGCTGGACCGTCCTCGCTCCCGTCCCCCAGGCGGTGCTGGTCCCGGGCAGTGTCTCCCACGTCCCTGAGCGCGTGCGTGTGTCTCCGGTCATGGCTATGGGAGCACGGACAGGCCTGCAGCCTGCGCCTCTTTCCTCGCGGGGGGCGGGGTGTGCGAGTGGCGATGACTGCTTTCGTTTTATCATTACGTGCTCGCCGTGAATGGGGGCCGGGGTGTGGGTCTCATGACTTTTCCCCAGCTTCCTGGGTTTTCGGAAGGAAGTTTGTTGCCTGTGCGAGTGCTTCTGCCCCGGGCTCGGGTTCCAGTAGGCGATTCAAGATACGTTGTTGTAGTTCATTTTCACTTAATACCTGGCATCTCGTTTTGATTTGCTTTGTAAATGAGCTTCAGGTTTTGCTCGTTCTGAATTATTCATTTTGCAAATAAGTTTTTGGCTCCCACACCAGAGTAAAAATAAGCATTTTTTTCCTTATCCAATACATGCATATAAAATACTTTTGAATAACTTCCCATGTCAACATATTTAAAAGAATTTAAAATTTTGTCTCCAAAAAAAAAAAAAAAAAAAAATTTCTGTCTCCCTTCTTTCTTCCCCAGTACAAGTTAGGCTTTTAAGTGCCAGGAGTGCTGTCTGGGCCATAGGAAGGCATAGCTTAGACCTTACCAATGAGATTCAGGCCAGTCTTTCTGCAACTAAATCACACACACTCGTGTTTTTAATGTGCATTTTATGTTCATAAAAGTTATTTCCAGAAGTTTTTCTGGCTAAGCCAACTTTTTAAGTGTGCTTTGTGAATTTACATTTTTTTAACTTTTTTTTTTTTTTTTTTTTTTTTTTACTTTGGAATCCTGAGACAAAGTTCCCTACTCTTCTCCACAGAAGGTGGCCTCTGTCCCTGCTTCCACTAAACTGTTTTCAGATGTTTTAATGTCATTGGTGTGATTTTCCTTTGGAAACTACGGATGGAAAAGAGCTTGAAGGATTAATGACGCCGCAGCCTTTCCGTGCTGCTTGACCGTCTGCTGTGCTGGGGGAGTGGGCGAGCCTCGGGCAGGTCCTATGTGAAAGCCCCCGCCCCACCATTCACACCAGGATCCCCTCCACCCTGGTCAGAGGGTAGACCTAGTCCGTGGGGCCATGAACTCGAGCGTAAAGTCCAGTCCAAAGTCACTTCAACGGTTGATTCTAATTAAAAGTATTTTGGCATAAGATGGGGTTTTGTTCATTTGGGGTGGCACAAGGAAGCACGAGTGTGTAAGTGGGTTTTGGGGTGTTTTCCCCCCGTTTATCAACCGTTGGCTCGAGGTGGGATGACAGATGTCCTTCAGTGACGGCTGCTCTGTAACGGTTCTGTTAGTGTTTCTGTTAACCTTCAGGAGTAACAGTACCGTTACCCATGTGTGTGGTCCTTGGAAACCCGCCCAGATACCAGGGAGACTGGTTGGGAAAGAATGCCAGTCCTGTCCGGTCCTGTCCATGGGAGAGGCTTCCTCTTTTAATCAGGAGTTGCTTTGGCTGCGGCTCCCGCGCTGGGAGCAGGGAGGGGCAGGGTGATTTGCAGACTGAGCCAGCGGCCGGGGTTTTGTGACTGGGAACAGTTGCCATAGGAAGGAGCCTGTGTTAATACCAGATCTCGTTAAATCGGTTTTTAATTCAGATGGATATAGTACTGATCTCAGAATTTCATACATAATGTATAGGTATTAAACTTACAAAAACACCTATTCGGAAAACTACAGCATTATGGTTCCGTTTAAAATCAGCAGTGAGAAGTTTCTCGGCACACCTTCCCCCTGGATAAACTTCACATTAAACAGTCTGCACTCCGGTCTTCAGTATCCGTCCGGACCACAGTGGAGACGGGCCATGGCAGGTGGCGGGGGGGAGGGTGACGCATCTGCCTAGTTAGAGCCTGAGCCTCAGGAGATCCACTGCCTCCCCAGTTAAAAATGTGGCTCCCGCCTGTTTGATCCCATACGTTAGAGACACACAGGACTGACTTCAGGTGCTAAGTATTGGACCAGAGTAAGAGAACAGTGCGTATGGAATAACCAAGGGTTGTTTTGTCTTGATCCCTGAAGACTTAGCATCCGGTAATGGTGATCTGAATGACACTTGAGAACCAAGCACTCTCTGTGATTTGCACCGTTTCCATCTCGAATTCCAGCCTCCGGAGGCTCCTCTGTTCCCAGAGCATTGTAGCGGCCGTGGCCGGAGTCAGCCATCCCATGCACCTTCCTCCCTCCTGCGTCCTTTCACAGAACCCCAAGGCCCCCCGTGGTGTTTCCAGAACTGTCACTGCTGCATTTGGGGCCGTGGCGGGAGCTTAGAGTCTGTGAAATGGTCCCCCACGGTAGAACCATCTTCATTACGGCCTCAGGTCCTGCTTTGATTGAAACTGAACCTCTCTTTAAAAAGTAGTTATCCAGGTAAATTGTGCTAAGTGCATAAGAAATCGTTCTGATTAATTAAGGCCAGTGGGAAGCCCCCGGGGGAGACTTTCCTTCCGGACTACTTTAAAGGGGACGTGAGGGCTTGCCAGTGGTTGGGGCTCCCGGTTCCACGGGGAGACCACAGGCGTGTGAAGCGTCCTGGGGCTCCTGGCCAACTCCCCTTGGGGGCTGACCCACACCTGGGACCCCCACACACTGGCACCCTGAAGACGCACAACGGGGTCACTAGTCTGTGTCACGAGCCCAGCCTCACCGAGGTCTGTCGTGCAAGCCTACTTGGCAGTGCTTGTGTGCCCGACAGCTCCCTTGTGCTGGGTCCAGGGGTTCGCACCCTGCTAGCCAGCCAGAACACCAGCACCTCACAAGGATGTGACCATAGAGATTGAATTTTGCTTTTTAAGAGACGCTTCTGCCTTGAACGTTAAAGTAAGCCTGAGTGGGCGTTCTTCAGGAGCCCTAGGTGAGCTTGCAGGTGTCCTTGGTGATTGGAATCTTGTGTTTGGGGGGTGCCGGGCTGGCTCAGTAGGAGCTTGTGGTCATCAGTTCAAGCCTCACGCTGGGCAAAGAGTTCACTGTTACAAAGTGAAACATAACTCGTTTTTGTCCTGCACGTGCTCCTTCCCGGCCGTACCGAGCCCCTCAGGAATCCGCTTCCCAACAGCACCGTCCAGTGCTTCCCGCCTTCCAGAAGCCCAGGGACACCTCCCCCAGGCTTTCAGACTGCTCGTGCGTAAAGCAAACACGTGGCTGTAGAATCTTGCTGAGAGCTGGCCGCGGGCTTCAGACGGCCGTACCAGTGCCCGGTTCTGCATTTGGACCGTGGTCAGTCATGCTTGCAAAGTCGCCTCTGTAGAAAGGAAGCTGGGAGGGTTTTTCTTGAGCCGCTGCTAGGCAGTGTCCTGCCACAGATGGTCCACAGCTAACGCGTGCTAGAATCTCGTGTCCTCAACAAATGTCTCCTGGGGCCGAGTAGGAGGTAAGGACTTTTTTTAACGAAATGTGTCGTGGTCTTTGCTTTTTTCTGTGGAGGTCGGTAGAGAGATGGGAAGAGAAGGTGCTGCTGCTCCGAGCCCCAGAGAGCGTCCAAACTGACCGCTTGGGGAGAGACACCTCGTGTTCCGTCTGCGAGGCTGCCTTTCTCAGACGCAGCGTGGCACGTCTCCGTGGCTCCTTCGGCAGACACGAATGGGTGTGGGAGAGATAGGAGTCTGGTCGGAGCCAATGTTCCGACAGTTCTGAGAGGCCGGCGTCAATCACAGTTCGTAAAACACAGATTTAAAAAGTAAATTGCGTCTGTGCCGCTGATTGCTAGACGTTGGAATGACGCGGGTCCTTGTGCAGCCAGACTGCCGCGGAGTTTTAAAAAGCCTTGCAGGTGCTTCATGGCAATGATGCTCTACAAAGACGGCCTGTCTGTGGAGAACCCCGGCCTGAGTGCATTAGCATATGCTCCCCTGTTAAAGAGTCCCTTGACTACAAGTAGGAGAGCCTTCGGTCGGTTTCGTTTTTGTCCCGTTCTTTTACGAGGAGCCGTCGGCAGCGACGGCGCACCTGCGAGGTGGCAGGGTTTCAGAGTCGGCCCCGTGCTCTGCATGGGTCTCTCCTTCCCGGAGTCATTTCCAAGGCAAACTGGCCTTGTCCCCTGGCTCCTCCTCTTCGTTTGACCTTGGATGTCCCCAGACTCCTCTCCCTGCGGCCCCTCCAGCCCCCTAGTGGCAGGCCCGCCCAGGCTGCTGCTCTTCACGGCCGGCCTTTCCAGGGGGCCAGTCTCCTGATTCTGTTACGGGGTCGTTCCAGGACTAGTCACTTTCGTTTGCTTTCTGTGTTTGTGCCTTTTCAGGCTGGAGAGCGGCTTCGTTCATGGATACAGTCCCCTTTCTGAGCACTGGGCTTAAGGGACGAGAAGATAAGTAGCTCTGCTCTCAGGAAGCACTTTCCGATTTGTCCTCTGTCGGGGCTTTTGTAACCTGCTTTCCTTTTCAAGACATGTGAAATGGCACACTTAGCTCGGGGCTCACCGTCCCCGGGAACCCTGGCCCCCGAACCCTGAAGAGCAGACCTTGCGAGTACAGACACTGAACGCTGTGCTGTAGCCCCGTGAAGCTCCCCTTTTGCAGAGGCGTCCGTCCGTGGCTTTGCTGCGCTGGCGTGCACCCGTTCTCCGCGGACTGCCGGATTCCCAGGACGGCTTCCCAGGCGTAGGAGAGGAAGGAGCAGGACCCGAGCCCACGCAGACCGCAGGCTCCTCAGAGACTCAGCAGTCTCTGAAATGACTGGCTGAGGTCTCCCCGAAGGTCCTGAACACCCCCACCCCCTCGTGAAGGCGGCCAGTTTGCCACGGACTTGTTGAAAGTACCTGCTTCCGGGGGGGGCGGCAGCTTGCCTGTCGCTGATGGGGGCCCGTGGAGGAAGGAGGAGAGCCTTGAGTGGGAAAGCCAGAAATCCGTGGCTTAATGCCTTGGGCTTAAAAGCACCTGTGTTGTGAGTGACCTTGGCCTCCTACCTGTGCAGACCAGCTACACAGGTCACGCTGGTCTGTTTCTCCCACATGCCAGTCGTCCGGGACTTGCGTTCCTCTTCACGAAGACCGTACGTTATTCTCCGGTCTCCGCCGTTTGGCTTACGGTTAATGGCAGTCTGGGGCTGTACGCTCGCTCCTTCCTTTTACACCTGTAAGAAACGACTCCTGCCTGCAAATCAGAAGTAACTGAAGCTGCAGAGGTCATGTCTGTTTCTAAATGTTTATTGGAAAGATTTAGCACAAAAGTTGTTTATTGTATATATACCTTGACCCAGAAATTTATCTGATTAAAGACCCAGAAGTACACAGGTGCCGTGGTGAGGTTGTCCATTGTGGTGCTCACTAAAGGACAGCCGGGGAGTTGCGGGGGGTTATAATGCGACCCTACAGCGGATTATTATTTGACTTTAAAAGGTTCTTTTGGACTTTGCTCACGAGCTGCATTCATGCCATGGTAGATGAAGAGAAGCAAGGCATGAAGGCGATCTGGGGGTCCGATTTTGTAATAGCACATGTGTGCTGAGACCAGAAAGCCACATACACGGGAACGTGGCTGCTGGGGGTAGGGTGGGGGCGCCCAGGGAATGTGCCCAGGGGAGTGTTTCCACACAATGAGTGTGATTCTTGCAGGAAACGTGATTAAATGTGCATGTTCATTTTCCTCCAAGATCCAGAGAATGATGCTTTTTTGAGGAATGTGCGTAGCTTCAGCTCCAAAGATCTTGGAACTAGGACTGTAATGTTCGTTTCCGGTGTTACTGTATCTTGGTGCACGGGCCCACGCCCCCAGGACAGTATTTAACCTTGGCTTTTACTTTCCTTTCTACTACTGAAATTAGTGAATTTTTTTTAAATTTAGGATAATTTTAATGGTTTTCATGTTATTCAAGAATTGTCTTTGTATTTCTTTTTTTTTTTTTTAAGATTTTATTTACTTATTTGACAGAGATCACAAGCAGGCAGAGAGACAGGCAGAGAGAGAGAGGAGGAAGCAGGCTCCCTGCTGAGCAGAGAGCCCGATGCGGGGCTCGATCCTGGGACCCTGGGATCATGACCTGAGCCGAAGGCAGAGGCTTTAACCCACTGAGCCACCCAGGCACCCCTGTCTTCGTATTTCTTTATGAAAAATAACTGAAGGAACATTTTGGGGCATAATACAGAGTATGCTGAACTTAGAAACATATTTAGAAACTTCTGTGGGTTGTAGAACTGCTTTATTTCCTCCAGGGAGCAGCCATGAAGGAGAATTTGTGCCACTGGGTACAGGTAGAGTAAGTGTCCGAAATCCCGTGACTTTTCCTTGGTGTTGCATATTTCGGGAAGTTTCCCAGTCGTGCTCTAGGCTCTTTGCTGATCCCTGTATTCCGTTGTTTTCACAGATTGGGAGCATTCAGGACTCCTAGAGGAATAAAGGAGGGAGAAACCATTGTCTTAAAAGCCTGTGGGTGCAGGGATCTAAAATTGCCTTTGTGTTCTGTGCAGCTCGGAGCTCGGGTCCCTGCACGCCGCTGGGGAACAGTGACGCAGACGACGAAGCTGACAAAATGCTGGTCGACAGAGAGCTCACGGCTGTCACAGGTGGGAGTGGACAGTTCCCTGTTAGCTGCGGCAGCAGCCCCATGGTCGAAGACACCAGACAGCAGGAGGGTGGTTCTGTCGGACCCAGAGAAATAGAAGTATACACGGTCTCAGCGATGCAAACGCCTTGTCGCTGCAGGAACCAGTGTGCGTACTATTTCTGACCCGAGTCTCCTCCCCAGCATTGCACTTTGTTGTCCAACGTTTTAAAGAATGTTATACTACAGTTTGCGTATCTTGGGCGAGTTTGTAGATACAAGGATAAGTGTTTTGGGTGCATTCTGTAGATATGAGACGTTTAAGTGCAATCTTCCTATTTTGGTTTGAAGCTTCCGCTTAACGTGCCTTGTTTAATTTCAAAGAGGTTTCGCATGCTTACTTTCCTGACATCTGACCTTTGGGTGAACACACCAGACATCTGTTGCTAGTAGTTCCTGCCTGGTGCGCAGCAAGAAGGATGATTTGCTGTGGACATGGAGGACGGGTGGATGGTTTTGACCTGTGACTGGGCTTGCAAGCGTGGGGCCTCCCACTCGCCTCTGCTGGTTGCTGTGGTTTCTGGGACAGCAACTCCCAAGTCCAGCCAAGTGCTGGGCGCCGTGGCCCCCAGACATGTACACGCTATAGGTGTTAATGTCTCCGCACAGTTGATAGTTAAAGGCTGTTTCTTTTAGCATTCAGAATCTTCAAGACTTTTCCTTGGAGTTAACACTTTTCTCTGCCAATTTTCTCTTTAGATGACCATGAAAACATCTTAGCAGTTTTCTTACTGTGTTAATATATGTAGAAATAGATACTGGTTTGTTTAAGGTTTTACTGTGTGTCTATGCTAAATTCTTCACTGGGGTAAGAGATTATGCATTATGCTTCCCAGACATACATGAAAAATCATTTCTGTGACTAAACATGGAAGGAAAATGTGTACATCTTTCTAGAAGCTACAGGGTTACAGGCGGAATCACCTTCTTGCCAGATAATTAAAGGGTAGATTTTCTGTGGAAAATCCTAATACGTTAATAATTTAAAGACCTTGGCTAAAGATAAGTAACAAAAACAAAGCTTTTCAAAACAAATGACATAGCTACATGCTTTAAAAGGCAGAAGTAATCTCTAAACTTCAAGCATTAATATCCTGCGTTTTCAGGCCAAATTTAATAGCCAGCGTGGGTGTCGCGTTGAAAAGGCCACATTTTTATTTCAAGCCCAGCTTGTCCTGTGTGAAGGGCGCCATACTTCCGGTCACCTCACGCACAGCACCGTCCTCCCACGTGCACAAAACGGGCTGAACTCCTGGGGGCCATGCCGTGGGCAGGCGGGCGGTGTGCGGGAGTGTGGGCCTGGAGAGGCGTGAGGGGCAAGGAGCTAGGACGGTGTTGGAGGTGGCCAGGCGGGGTCACGAATAGCCAGTCTCTGGGATGCCCGCCGTTCCCGTGCTCAGCTGGATTAGATTTTCCACAAGGACATGAGGTCATGAAGTAGCCTTGGTGTTGACGTTGCGTCCCGGCACTCGTCCTCGCACCCCCCAGGTACTAGAGGAAATGCGTGCGCACGGAGCTCGAACGGAGAACTGAGTCAAGGTGACTCCGATGTCTGAGCCAGTGCTCCTGGACCTTTTCAGGGCTGATCCCCTGGAAACCTCATGTCCGTGTCTGTTACTAGGACACAGTTATTTGTCTTAGTGACCATCAAGGTCGCCATCCTACTCATGAATTTCATCACCCAGGAACACTGATAAAAGTTCTCTGGGATTAGCTCATTTTATTTCTTTTTATTCTACTTCATGTTCGGTTCTTGAAATACTTCTTCTCTAGTCTTGAGTTTTAACTAAATAAAAGAGCTGTCCTTTAATTTGGAAAAAAAAAAAGTCCCTTATCCTCTGAAGAATTTATAGCAGTTATAAAGTATGATTATCACTTAAACTGCCAGAAAAATGATTAATGGAATGTGTAGAAGGTGTTTTTGTTCATTGAACAAGCCATGATTTTTTATTGGCAGGAAGATTTGCGGGACACACAGAAACCTATGTCCAAGTGCAAATCAGAGGCACCTGGCTGGTGAGGTGGAAAGTCAGCCCTTCTGGGGGAGGGCCACACTGTGTGTCAGGGGCCTGTGGGTGCGGAAACGTGTCCTCGTTCCAGTGGTCGTGGGACTCCGTTCGTGTGTTTAATACCATACCTTGCTTTAACAGCTCAGAACATTGAGATAAAATTTCCTATTACCAAGCAAGACCTAATTTTCAGTCATTCTTTGTACTGTTCTGTGAACTCCTATGAACATGAATATTGAATCCCGATTTCCTTGTACAGAAAAGTACCTTGTAATCGCTGTCCCCTTGGGCTCGGGTGTGTTGGGATCGACTCTGTCATTCCCCCTAAGACATCTCCTCTTGGTGGATGCCTGCCTATGCAGGTTAAGCAAGCAACATTTTCCCAACCTAAGCGTTTTTTTACCGTAGCCTCATTAGATGAAGCCTTGGACATCGGAGTCCACTCACCTGGCGAACTCGGAAGGCCCTGCCAGGGCTCGCCCTGCTGCGCCGCCGGTCCCAGACCGCACGCGTGAGAGCGCTTAGTGTCCCATCCTCGCCGGCCGCTCACCGAGCCACACAGGTGCCACGCGGACGCAAGGGTCGCAAAGATCTGAGCTCCCGTGTCCGAGCGCCAGGCCTGAGCAGTGGGCCGTGTCCCCAGAGCTCGCGTGGCGCGGTCCCAGGAGCCCCCAGGCCCCCGTTTCGGTGGCCGCCTTTCCTTAAGAGCTGGAGAGGGGTGGGGTTTTATTTTAACCCTGTGGGAAACCTCCCACTTTGTTCTGCTGGACTGTCTCGCAGGTGATTTTTTAAACGTCTTCCTGAAAGTAGTCTTAACACGAGAGCACTTTTTTGATTCTGGGTGTTGCTGGCGGCGTTCCAGGGCTGCTGGTCGTTTTCATGCTGCAGATCTGTCGGCTCAGCCGTTTGCATTCAGTTGCTCAGTGCGGCCGAAAGCCAGAGATGTGTCCTGTCTTACCAGGAACATGCTGCTGTTGGTTCTATTTTTAAATCTGCCTATGCAGTTTTTTACCTCCGGAAAAGGAACTGGTTTGTTTTAAAGAAAAAAAAAAAGAAGCTAAATAAATCCTTTAGAGTTGTGGCAGCAATGAAACCGTTCTAGTTCCTCCTCCCCCTCTGGTTCAGAATTTTGGTGACAGGTGTATTTCTCAATGCAGATATGAAACACAGTAGCCCCGCGTCGGATACATTGGCAAATGGATGTGTCATCAATGGACATTTGGACTTCCCCTCCACGACACAGCTCAATGGGACGGAGAGCGGGAGTGACCAGAGCTTATCAGGAGCTAATGGTTTTAGCAGTGGCATAGTTCAAGGACGGCCTTTTCCGAGTAGCCAGGGTTCGCTTTGTGTCAGTGGGACCGAGGAGCCGGAAAAGACCATGAGCGCTAACGCCGAGATGTGCGGCTCTCTGCACCTGAACGGGAGCCCGAGTAGCTGCGTGGCTAATAGACCTTCCTGGGTGGAGGGCATTGAGGAGAACCTGCACTACGGGCATTACCATGGGTTTGGGGACACCGCTGAAAGCATCCCCGAGCTTAGTAGCGTGGCGGAGCACCCCAGCTCCGCGAAGGGGGCAGAGAGACACGGCGGTGCCACCCTGGGGGCCATGCACCTGTACCACGGCTCGTAGAGACCGGCAGCCTGACCGTGCGGACGCGCCCATCCCTCCTAGTAGCCGACTACGAATACTCATGTAGCGCCCATTTGAGGGAATGTCACGACTTGTACTGGTTTTGTATACTTCAGCTTTCTGACAAAGTCAGCTTGTGTTTGAGAAGTTCCTCGTGAGTCCTGTTGTATGCACGAGGACGGCTGACTAAGCACCCAGGTGTTTCCTCTGCAGGTTGGCGGGCCTCTTTCCGAGTCTAATTTTTCGGCTGCCAGCCTCGGTGTTTTCCTTTGAACATCGTCACCGTAGAATGCCGTCCTTCCAGACTGCTGGTCCACAGTCCTTTTGAAAAGTTTGCTTCTGCTCTAACCCGTAGAATCTGTGACAGAAGACGGCTCGTTCCCTATGCAAAGTACAGCCTTACAAAGATTTCTTGAAAAAAAGAACATTTGTCTTTTTCAAAGTCTTTTCATTGAAACTTTGCAACTTACCGTGTGGTGGGTCTTCCAGGCACGCGTGGTGGTTTGGGGGCGGAAGCGGCCCCTTTGTCAACAGCGTAGCTCCCTGCCCCGCGTTTCACTGAAAACACCTGCATCCAGGACTGACTTCTGCCCTGTCGTGGTTTTATCCCACATTTCTTGCTTTGTCTCCACGGTTTGTACCACAGATAACGGTTTCCTTTGTATGTAGTGGAAATTACTATTTGTAAGAATTGTCAGGTCAGGATATTTATAACTGACTATTTTGACTTATATTTTCTTTTTTCTTGTTTTTTTTGGGGGGGGGAGGGAGTGGTTTCTGCTTTAAAATGTATACCACTATGTGTATCCCATCTACTGAGAGAATTTTGGATCTCTCTTAATAAAAGTGCACTAAGTTTATGGTTTTATAGAAATTAGCTTTTGTTTAAGCAGCTAGTGGTCACACTGTGCAAATATTGTAATGAATTTTTACTTTTCTGATTTTTGTAATGAAAATTGGTGAAGTTAGAGAAAATGTCCATTGAACAAGCCAATGTCCTAAGAGTGTTACTAACATCTTGTTTTTAAACTGTGCTTTACAGATTGAATAAAAAAACTCACGCTTGAGCCATGCCTGGCGTGTGCTTTCTTTCTAGCGTGGAGGGGGGGGGCGGTGTCCGCGCAGGGGACAGGAAGGGAGGGACGAGTGGAGTGTCCCTTTTTATTTTGCTTGTAAGATTTTACTTTATTCCTCTGGTCCTGCCCGTGTAATTTCTGGTCACTTTTGGTTTCTTGATGTATATGCTCTAGTCTTAGGACCCTTTTCTCCCAGAGCCTCTTGGGGGAGTATCAGTTGTCTCAGCCAACAGTATTGTCCCTGCGTGCGTATTTTCATAAAAGACAATGACCATAATTTACTGAATGTCGGGCCAGCAGACATTTATGAACATAAGCCTTTTAAAACTATAAATTACAGTTAGTAGATGCCAACAAAATAATCTTTCTGGCATGCCCTGTATGTTATTTAGAGCACTGGTTTCTTTATGCATATTATTGTAAATTTAACATACCAGAGTGAGGGGGCATTAGCCTTTGGAAGTGTCACAAAAATTACTGGAGGCTGAGAACAGAAGCGCGAATACACTTGCTGTGTCACTGCTGCCCAATCCCGTGCCCACGGCAGGCATCAGTAATCGCGCCCTGAGCCCAGATGGCGGCTGCTGCCCTTCTAAATGACTGCTCTGAGAAGGTTGCTCTGAGTCTGCAGGAGAGGTGGAACCACGCAATCCTGTGCTTAGACTAGTCCTTAATGTATTTCCGAGACTGTGCAGTAAGTTAATATTTGCTGGAAAACATTAAGTGAATCTCTTAAAATGCTGGAGGATCAACCTTTCATTTAGTCTTGGGAGTTGTTGGACAGAATCTGCCTGCTTCTCAGGGACCACCTACTGTGTAGAACCTACAGGGGCACCCGCTCTACACAGTGTGACGGATGCAGTTTCCTTGTCGCTCAGAGGCATTGACGTGAGCATGTGAGGTTCCCGTTTACAGATCGTAACAACGTCGTTGCAGGAAAATCCCATCGTCCCTGGAATTGGCTTCAGAATGCACAGGAGCGCTAGAGTGCAGACGGAACATGGCTCGCCCAAGACGGGGGAGGAGCCGATGTTGACACTGGGTACATGAAGGTGTTTTGTTCTACTTTGTAGATATTTGGGGAAGTTTTTCATACTTAGGACCTGACAAAGAAAAAGTTCTAGTCCTTTAAAAACGTGGACATCATTTTAGCACTGACCCAAGAATAAGCCGAAATTTTACTCTGCCTGTCTCACCAAAATTAAGTGCATTCTAAATTATAAGAGTTTACTGGTTCTCGGTAAAAAGAGAAAAGAACCTGTAAAAAAAGAACCTTTTTTGGCCTGAAGACCCTTTTAGGGGCTCATATGCTTAAACAGTAATCACAAACAAATGGAAAATTAAACTTTAAAAACTCCATTGACAGTAACATCAAAACCATAAAACACCTAGGAATATACCTTAAAAGGTGTTCAAAACCTCCACACTGAAAACTAAAACATTTCAGAGAGAAAGAAGGTTGCAGATGACGTGCTACTGCATAGAGAAAACCCTAAACACGCCACCAAAACCTGTTAGAACTGATGAATGAATTCAGTAAAGTTGCAGGTTACAGAATTAATATGCAGAAATCTGTTGCTTTCCATACACTATTGAAGTAGCAAGAAGAGAAATTAAGAAAATAATCCCATTTACAGTTGCACCGAGAATAATAAAGTACCTAGGAGCAAACTTAACCAAGGAAAAGAAAGCTCCTCACTCTGAAAGCCATAAAGCAGTGATGAAAGAAACTGAGGAGGACACAAGTGAAAGGAAAGACATTCCATGCGTGTGCATCAGAAGGACAAATGTGCCCACACCACCCAAATCAACCTGCAGATTTAATGCAGTCCCTATCAAAATACTAACATTTTTTACAGAACTAGAACAAATAGTAATAAAATTTGTATGGAACCAGAAAAGACTTCAAATCGCCAAAGCAATCGCCAAAGAAGAACAAAGCTGAAGGTATCACAATCCCAAATTTGAAGGTGCGCTACAAAGCCACAGTCTTCAAAACGATATGGTTCTGGTGCAAAAATGGACACAGATCAATGGAACAGTATAGGGAACCCAGCACGGGAGCCTACACTTATGTTATCTACAACAGAGGAGGCAAGAATATATAGTGGGAAAACGTCTCTTCAAACAATGCTGTTGTTGGGGGGACACCTGACCTGAGTGGCCCAGTTGGTTAAGCATCTGCCTTAACCAGGGGATCGAACCCCACATCAGCCTCCGTGCTCAGAAGGAAATCTGCTTCTCCTTCCGTCCCTGCCCACACTCATGCTCCATCTCTCTCTCTCTCTCTCTCTCTAAAATAATAAAATCTTTTTTTTTAAAGGTGTTGGGAAAACTGGACAGCTACTTGCAAAATAATGAAACCGGACCCCTTTCTCAGAGCATACACAAAAATAAGCTCAAAATGGATTAAAGTCCTATAGATGAGACCTGAAAACATAGAACTCCTAGAAGAAAACAAAGGCAGTCTTTTCTTTGACAATGGCCAGAGACCTTTTTCTCGGTAGATCTCAGGCAAGGGAAACAAAGGCAAAATTAGACTATTAGGACTATATCAAAATAAAACGTGAAGGAAGCCACCACAAGCCAAAGACAGACCGCTGAGTGGGAGGAGGTATTTGCCACTGATAAGGGATTAGTAACCAAAATACATAAAGAACTTCTACAACTCAGCACCCAAAACAAAAGAAAGTAATCCAACGAAAATGACTGAGGACCCAAATAGACATTTTTCCAAAGAAAACGTACAGCTGGACAACGGACACACGGAGAGATGCTCATCACTCAGGGCAATGCAAAGCAGACCTACAGTGGGGTGCCCCTCACACCTGTCAGAAGGGCTAAAATAAAAAAATATAAAAAACACAAGAAACAACAGGTGTTGGTGAGGATGTAGAAAAAGGGGAGCCCTCGCGCGACGGTACAAATGCAAACTGGTGCGGCCGCTGTGAAAACATTACGGAAGTTCCTCAATTAAAAATAGAACCACCATATGACCTAGTAATTATTTACCCAAAGACAATGAAAACACTAATTCAAAAGGATACATTCACCCCGTGTTTATTGCAGCATTATTTACAATGGCCAAACCGTGGAAACAAGCTGAGTGTCCGCTGACTGATGCGTGGATAAGAAAGATGTGACGAACATACGGTGAAATGTAACTCGACCATCAAGAGTGGAATCGTGCCGTTCACGACAGCGTGGGTGGATCAAGAGGGTATACTGCGAAGTGAAGGACGTCGGTCGGAGAGCGAAATGCCATAGGAAGGGGATTAAAAGCACACTAACGAGGGGCACTGAGAAGTGTATAGAACTGTTGAATCACTGTGTTGTGCACCCAGAACTAACGTAGTACTGTAGGTTAAGTATATTGAAATTGAAAAAGGAAAATGTTCAAGACCTCTACACTGAAAACTACAAAACGTTCCAAAGAGAAAGTTTTAAATGAATGTTCCGGTTGACGTGTGTAAAGAAAATCTGACCTCGTACAGGTAAGTACTTGAGAAAGGGGGGGATATTTTCATTTTAATAGCCTTTGCAGTCCGCTGCGGGGATTTGACACCAGACCTGTACACTGGTAGTCCTTTCGGGTTAGCTGCCGTGTTGAATCAGGCCACGGCGCTGGACTTCTTATACCCAGTTACTGGGCATTATCTTGCCCGCGAAATGGGCCTCTAATCCACGCGTCACTGTATAACATCCTGCATTAACTGTTTGGAGAACATTATTTGAGTTCTGCACATCTTCAAGTGTTGAAACGTTTTCTTATAAAAAAATCATCTTAACGTCATTAACAATCTCATAAAAGTTCAAGCTGGAAAGTGTCAAGTACGTGGTGCATGGTGCTGGATACAAGTTTGGAAATTGTAATTTTTGCTTGAAAGTTCAAATGTTGGGGCGCCTGGGGGCACTCCGTCGGTGAAGCCTCTGCCTTCGGCTCAGGTCATGATCTCAGGGTCCTGGGATCGAGCCCCGCATCGGGCTCCCTGATGAGCAGGATGTGTGCTTCCCCCTCTCCTCTGCCCCTGCTCTTTCTCGTGCATTCTCTAATAAATAAATAAAATCTTTTTTAAAAATACGTAAGTAAAGAGAAAATGTCTTTTCATGACCGTCATTTGCTGTCACAGCTTTTCCAACAGTTCATACAGTTCAAGATCATCTAAGCCAGTTTTGTGAGCTGAACAGTGTGGACCACTGCGTCAAACAGCACATGATGTTTCCATACGGAACAGTGACACGTGCTTTCTTTGAGTCATTTCGAAGTTCTCTCCAGAAGAGGAAGAGGGAGGTGGCAATGGCATCCAGTAGAACGAGACAGCTCCCCTCCCGGGAACTGCAGGGCCTCTGCTGGGAGGCAGGGGAGCAGGGTGCAAATGACAGTGTTTGACGCGCTCTCGAGAGTTGGGGTGACGAGCCGCTGACCGTGCCCACTGCCGTCTCTACCTCCCGCGGACAGCCTGGAGGGGGGCGATGATGGCGAGATCCTATAGCCAAGGGGACTGAGGTGGCACCGGCGTGGGGAGGGAAGACAGGCCGAGGGTCGGGCTGGCAGAGTGGACGCCGCTCAGACGCACTGCCGTGAGGCTTGCCATCTGAGGCCGGGGGGCAGCAGCAGGTGACCACAGCAGGAACTTGAAGGAAGGCACACCAGGCTGGTGACAGCTGGAGGGAGGCCCAGCCAGAGCCCCCACCACGGGCGCTGCCCACTCTTCTAGACAGCTCCCACGTGGCCAGCGTTCTTTGCGGTAATTTCTTCCGTTAAGGTCACTGGGGCTGTCGCTGTCTCCTGCCGGGCCCTGAGCGATGGAGCCAGCCAGGTCGCTCTCACCGGCGTCGGAGGCTGGCCTTCCAGAAACATGGCACTCCCCGGGCCTCCCATCCCGTCAGGCTACGACGAGCCGCGTTCGGTTCCACATGGAATGGCAGCTTTGAACCAAGACGCAGACTTGCTGAGGTGACACCTGCCGAGGGCCATCCACATGCCGAGG